GCAAACCCAACCCTATTACCCAATATCCCAGTGATTCCTCGTGGAAGTGCAGAGGTGTTCTCGGCTTCCATCACCATTTACACATTGAGGATGATTACTAGTCCCATGCATCGTCTATTGGTTCTCTGTGTAATTACAGCTGGTCTGGCAATAACAGTAGCAACCGTGGGCGGTCAATCATGCTCATGCTCATGCTCATGCTCAATAACTCAGCTGCAAAACCTTTCCCTGTTGTATTTGACGTTTTGGACGCTAGATAAGAACCTCCTTTATCAAAATATTGGTAGAATTAGCGCGAAATCTGTTTGCATAGCAGTGGTTATGAAAAGAGAAAGTCGATGAAGAGAATCGATTAAAGCAGATAGGACCATTTGAAATGTTCATCGATAAATAGTGGAAATATTATAATCCAGGGCTGTAATCTGTCGATTAATTGTATCACTGAGGCAATGTCATCTTATACTTATTCATTCGTGACGTCACAACATTTTAAGGGTACTTGTGTGTTTGGTGATGGTGGTGGTGCTGCTGGTGGTGAAGGTCACATGCTGCTGACCAAGGTCACACACGGAAGGCATCCATTGTGGAGGAAGCTGGTTACTGGTGTTACCGATAGACAAAGCGATGCCAGTCGGATGCAGGATGGCGGCCAGTCAACGGTGACCACGTGATAGCGGTCGAGATGAATCACTCCTTACCGATCGGATGTCGTTGTAAACGGGACCGCTCTCTGGAAATCGGTCGGCGTTTCCAACGGGAAGACGGCTGGTATGGAACGTACACTGGCACTGGGTTGGCCTTGTCAACGGGAAGGCGGCCGGTATGGACCGTACACTTGCGCTGGGTTTGTGATGGTGGTGTGGTGGTGATGGTGAAAAAAGGAGAAGCGGACTGTCGATTCCGAAGGATAATGGCCGTCGTGGAGCCACACGCTGGTTGATGATGTCGATGAACAATGGCCGCCGGAGAGGCACATTCGGGTGGACGGCGCCAAACAACAATGGCTGTCGTAGAAGCACACTCTGGCTGACGGTGCCGATTAACAATGGCCGTCATGAACCTGTCGACCCCGCCACGTGCATTCTCCAGATAATGACAACGTTCTGGTGTGTCGCACCAACCGCAACCTACCAGAGAATTGTCCTGTCGAAGAATCCAAATACAAAGAAAAAAGGCCCACTCGCTGAGCCTGACCACCAAATTAAACCCCTGTGGCGTCACGTGTTGCGTTTTTATCGTTTTACAATTTCAACAAACCAATTACCTTTTTCCTTTTGACTAGGATTAGCCTATTGTTCTGTACAATTGGTATAAGCTGTAGTTACGAACCACGGTTGGAATACGACGCGTTTTATTTGCCCCGTCCGTTTTAGTGAAAACGTGAAGTTGGAGTGCCGTTTTCGTGGCGTGTGTTCGCTGGAGGGATAATTCCCAGCATCGTCGCGTGGAAGTGACGTCGTTTCCCCGAAAAGTGCCGTGGTTCATGAGCTGCAAAAGTGAAGGGTGTCGGATCACCACCAAGGGAAGCTAAGCGCAAAGGATTCTTTCGCTTCCCGGCTAACCACCAAGGATCCCCGAGCACCCACCGTCCTCACTGCGATGGCTCAGCCAGTAGAGCCAGTCTCGCCACCGCAGTTAAGAGTCAAGGAGAGACGAAGCAGGTCGAACCGAAGGAGTGCACTGCGGTGACTACCGGGACCATCTACGGCGAGTAGTTGGCTTGGTGATTCGTCACCATTGTTGCCGGGGGGGGGGGGTTCCGATAAAGGAGCCATGCTCATCCCCCCCCCCCCGCTAGACGCTTCTACTACGTTTAGGTTCTTTTACTTTATAACCTCTACAATATCTGCTACGTTAGGAACGCGTGCGCACTTCCTTTACGTTCAAAAGTTACTTTTACACGCAAAAAAAAATATTTTATACTTAATAATATTTGACGTAAAATCAATAAGAATTTCATTTTGTTTTGGCTGCAAAAAGAAATCATTATTGTTTCAACAATTCAGTATTTTTGTTCCTCAAAACCCATGGATTGTTTAATTAAAAAGAAAATCTTTTTGAATTTACAAGAGCTTTCATAGTTTTGACGTAAGCTGTCCAATGTGGCAGCTGGGTCAACAAAAAAAATATATTTGTGTTTTAAAAGAGATTTCTTGTTGATTCAATCATATTTATTTTATGAAGTCTGACAATTCACGCAGTAAAAATAAAAATATGTTTAGTGATTCAAAAATCCGGAGTTATTTGAGAATTGGGCGTAATTGCTTTTGAAAACAAACACTTCAATTACTGATTTCTCTTGAATAAAAGCTCAATCTCAAACTATACCAAATAGAGGTATCATTCCTCTACCTCAAAATGTTATTACTTTTCGAGATTGAGCTTTTATTCGCGAGAAATCGGTTATTGACGTGTTTGTTTACAAATGCAATTACGCCCAAATCTCAAATCACTCCGGAAATAATATGGCCAATATATATCCTTCGGAAGGGAAGTAAAGCCGTTGGTCCCCGGTTAATTAGTTGATGGGTCGATATGTAGGGTCCAGGTGTGAGAGCTGCCGTCCTGGCGTTAGGAGCATTGGTACTCAGTACGGAAAACAAGATCGACGGAAAAAAAAATCAAGGAAAAAAACAGAAAATTGAAAAGTGGCTTATTAAACCAAAAAGAACCCTATTTTGAATTTATATGAATAAGTATTATTGAAACAACAAAATGCAATATAATTTCAACCAGAATTGTTTGTTTTAAATACAACTAAATTTTTTTTTTTTTGGTTCAATGCTTTGGTACCAGGACGGGGAAGTATTTTGCCCGTTCAAACTGCTTGAACGTCAAAATATCCATGTCGCAAATCAGGAAGCCGAGCTTACAAGTGAGCGCCAGCTCTTCCAGTATTGTTAGTTATGTTTATATTTTTATCGATGGGAAAAGAATTTATTAGAGGATGGGTATTTTGGGACTTGTGTAGGAGCCAACAAGCAACTATTAGAACCGATGGTTACTTAAAAAATAGCTATAAACATGGTTTAATTTTTTTTAGATAAGCTTTCCGCGAAATCCGCACCTAACGCGAATCCTACGCAAAATGCAAAATAGCTGTAAGAAGAGATCAACCCTCTTTCCCCCTGAGATTTTGTAAGATTTTACAAGACCCTCCCTTCCCCCATTTCCCTAACGTAATGTACGTAGTGTACGGCCCCTTATGAAAACGATTTTTGAAGCTTTTGCAAGCAAGTGGAACAGCTGCATTCAAAATAATACCGTCGATTATCCATAATTCACGATTACGATTTCAAAATTTGCGCTCCCAAAACAGCATCCGCGTGCAGCTCTACTCTAGCTACACCACCGACCGTACCTACGGTAATCTCCCTGGTGGCGGGCGGCGAATCTAGGCGAAGGGCGTTCACGACGCGATCGCCAACGAAACCGCCCGCAGGCGTCCATCCGCGTCATCATCACAGACCGGAGCCGGGGAAGTGAGACAAAACGGTCCCATCCCAAGTGATATTCACAGAGAAACAGATAGAGAGAGAAAGAGTGTCCCAGACCCGGCAAATATTCTCCCACGCTCGAAACACGATATTTCAATCTGTTTATGTAATAGATGCTAAAAAGCAGATAGATTTTGATGAGTCGCGGCTTCTCCGACACGGACGCGGGGCAGATCCGCCTGTAGGAGCCAGAGCTCTTTGCCGATTCTCGAGCTTCTCGAAAGAAACATGATCATGGAGCATTCATTTACCAGAAAGAGTAGTGAGGTCTCCGTCCGACACTTCCCCACTTCTAGCACGAACTGCTATCCGTGCAATGCACAATGCAACGGTTGACGTTTATTGCAGTTGAATTGAATTGACTCCAAAGAGTTCCAAATAAACTCGTGTATATTGAACGTTTTATTGTGGTTATGTTATGGCCCTCTTGGGTTACCTCCCTTCTGGTGGTACTGCTGAGCAGCAACAGAATGCAATGAGCAAACACAAACGGCGAAACGAACGGGCGTAAAGGCAAAAGATGGGAACTTCCAATCTCGGTGGCGTTTAGCCTGAGTGCTCCACCGAAAACGAATGGTTTCCTCACGAATAAGAAGATCGGATTGGCTCTTCTGAATGTGAGGTTTGGGAGAATCGGTGCATCGCAGGCAGGTCAGTTGCATGATGCGATGTGGTGGAGCAGAAAAGCAAAACGTGATTCCAGCATAAATGCTCCGGTTTCACATTAATAAAATCTGACTAGGGGTGTTCGTTGGAAGATTTTAGCTTGAGTACCGAATTTGAATGATCCGTTTAAGCGTTTGTTCCGATCATCCCTACGTTCTCCGAAAACACCAGAGATTAACCGACGACGACGACGGTCGACGACTGCGGGACGTTCGAACCTTAGCGCGCAAAAGTGAAGGCGTGTTTCTGTTTGTTTATGTTCTGTTGCTTACAACTTCCCTCCCTGCCTGGTGCTCCGAAACCTGCTTACTGAAGAACCGCCTGACAAACGCTGCGCTCTCTGTTACTCTTCGGAAAAGGAAGTTAATTAGGTTATTCCCACGCACTAAATAAGGAAATGCGGCGGTTGACACTGACTGCCTGCTGCTTAGCTACTCCAGTAGCAGCACGAGTAAGGCAAAAGCCAGTGAGTGTCTAATGTGGAGTATTGTTCTGTACCCTTCCAGCTGAGCCGCAACAGAGTGTTTTGTTTTTATTTTTATTTTTTCAGTCGTCCATTCCGTGATCGTTGGTACACCTTTTCTTATCCCAAGTAATTGATCTCTGCGTTCTGTTGCAAATAAATTATGTTATTCTCACGTCGTTGCATTTGCTTGCGGGTTGTGGTGAGAATTTAGCGCCAGCTAAATGGCTGTTATTGATGATGATATCACAAATTGGAACTCTATGCACGCTCCTTTCTTCCTCACCTTAGAGATTCATGATGCTTTGTCATGCTATGTGGATTGTGGAACAGGAAACTGAGTAATATGATTTCTTCTCTTTTCTCCCTTGCAGGCAGAGGGCCCACCAGTCCAGCTTGAACCAGTTGATCTCAGCGTTCGCTCGCCACCAAAAGGTATGTTTGATTAGGAAATAAAAACGACTTCAATGATCGATTCTCTCCATCGATACTCTCGATGGACAATCAAATTATGCATTTTAGAATAGTTGATGCGATGTTGATGTTGATGCAAACTGAAAATAAAACGATTCGTATAGCCAAGCAAGTCAATGAAGAATATCCATCGATACATATGTTGTATTATTCGGATTGAAATATTGATGGTTCATAAATATATGTAAACTAAATTGAAGCTTGGAGATATCTGAAAGGGAGAAAAAACATTCCGCGTAATGCAGACTTCAGAACATTGAGCTGCTCCTGCGACTGCTTTTCGAAGGAGTTTTAAACTTACCTACCATCACATTTCCTTCCACCATAAGGGTGCAATCTTTAGTTAATAGTTAAGTATATTGCTGTTCATTAAATACGTAGACAGTAGAAGCTGAACATTGCATTAGGTCCTAAGTATCATTGACAGATTCTCTTCATCAGCTTTCTCTTTGCATCCCCACGGCCATGTAGAGACATTCCCAGGTATTTTCAGGACACAGATCGAAAAAAGAAGCTTTTATCTTGCATCTAATACGACAAACACATCAAAAAACGGTTCTGTGTTCAAGTTATTAACGAAAGAGAAAGTCGACGAAGAGAATCGATCAATGTTACTTTGGACCTAATGCAATGTTCAGATTGAATTGTCCATACAATTTACCCATACACAACTATATTTGCCAATGAGCTGGAATTAGAGCGTAACAGCAAGTGTTTAAAGCATTGTACAAGTCTAAATCATGATCTACAGAACCCTAATAAAAACAGAATTGCTACTTGGGAAGGCCCGCCTACACAAACCAACCTATTCGATGGTAATGTTGATTTGCCAGGGAGAGCCATGCCTTTCGAGAACTCATCGAGAGAAGCCATTATTTACTAAAGCTGTTACGCCCTAATTCCAGCACTATCTAGAATTGTTCTTCTGCTTTTCAGTTTATCCTTCTTTCTAGAGCGATCTTCAGAGAAAGATCGATCTTGACAGATCGATCTTATATTTGGCTCTAGAATCGATTCACTAATTAAATCGGTACCAAAGAATCGATCTTTGGCAGATCGATCTTATGGTTTTAATTGTAAGTGACCTTTCTGACGTTTATAACTTGCACACTTGTGAAATCGCATTTTAAAGTGCTTAGTTTGCTATCCTCACTCACTTTCACTCAAGCCAAAAATGTTGGTTTGTTATTGTTATCCTCACTTTCGGACCATCAATACTCTTGCTAATAGAATCAATATTCAATATCAATCGAATGGACTATACTCTTGTTTACGTTGGTACCCCCAGAAATCCTTTCCTTTATAATATTCAATTAAATCGGGAGAACTTTAAGATTTGAGCGTAATTGCTTTTGTAAACAAACATGTCAATCGCTGATTTCTCGCGAATAAAAGAACAATCTCGTGAACAAACTATACCAAATTATAGAGGAACCATTCATCTACCTGTTTGCTTTGTTAGTTTTTTAGATTGAGCTTTAATTCGAGAGAAATCGTTAAATGAAGTGTTTGTTTACGAAAGCAATTACGCCCTATTCTTGAAGTTCTCCGGAAATGTTGTCGTGACGATAAGAAGCAATGACCACAGGATGGAGGCAGAGAAAATCATCAAATGTTGCTGTATTCGTAAATATCGGAAACGCAAATAGTGACGTCATTATAGAGAGCGAAGCTGATGTTAACGTTATGTTCGTTAAATTTACCATGCAGTCCGGGGTGAGAGTAAATCGTTTTTTCGATGTCAATACAATTACAAAATCTACCACCTTTTTTTTGAAGATCGAAAAAAAGAGATCGATCTTTTCGATCTTTTGACAAAGAATCGATCCGAAAAATCGGAAATCGGGATGAAAAAGATCAATCTTCATAAGATCTATCCAAGATCGCCTAATCCTACTTCATTCCTTTTACTGCTGTCAGTTCCGAGTCTACATGCAGAGTCGCTTGGTTGGAAGAATTTACACTCACTCGGCAATCTGTTTGTAGGTGAGGATAGCTATTTTGTTTCTGTGGTGCTCATGCGAGTGAATGAATTTGCCCATGCTTGGCTTAGAGAAACCCTGTTAATTTAAGGGAAGTCCAAAGAACTCCTATGAAGTTAAGAAAACTTCAAAAAAGGATTAAGGAACTTCACAGACGTTCCGATAATTCCAGTAAAATTATAGGAACGTCAGAGAAGATTCATGACAATTAGAAAAATCATGGCTACTTAAGAGAACTTCGGAGAACATCTAGTCAATTTTCGGATCTTCAGGAAAGTCCAAGGATGTTTAAATAGTTGAAGAACACTGTTTGTTTTGATAGTAACACTGCTCAATCGCTGTCGGGTTTTGATTGTTTTAGTCCATTAAAAGACACTTCACTGAAGTTATTCGTGTACCTCTGTAAACTCTAGTTTTGTGAATTTACGTGGAAAGTGGAAATCAGTTGATTCGTGTTGACTTTATTTAGTTTTACCGTATATTTGGTGTTGTGAAATTGCCAGTCATCCATTGATCAGTTCACGAAGATTTGCCGCACTCTTCTCTCACCCGTAAGTTTTGACAGTTTTGGGTGGTTTGTTTGGGCTCCCATTCGTTTGTTTTGCAAGTGTCGGAGGCAAAGGCAGTCGATTGTCACAGAAAATATGTCGACTACCGTGACCGCTTACAAGACTGGCGCTGGCACTCTGCCTCCCGGACGGTTATACGTGTGTGATTGGTGGTTTTCTCTCTTTCTGGGAAGTTTTAGAATTGTGAAAACGTGATTCATCATGTTTGCAAGCATCAGAAGATTTGGCGCTTTCTGCGTTGTTTGATTTTTTTTCTCTCGGACCAGATATTTGTAAAGCCCTACAGTAAAAGTATGGACGACTGTCACCACAAAACTGAAAAAAGCTGTTCCAATCGAGCAAAGCGGTGCATTTTGACGGTTCGATTGGAAAAACTTTTGACAAACGTCCATACTTTTACTGTAGGGCTTTAGATATTTGTGGCATCGCGAGTGATAATGTTTCATTTCAGTTTATGTACGCGCTGCAAGGTGCGTGAAAGAGCTTGGCACGATCGGTGTTGATGTTGGTTCACTTGCAACTATTTTTGCATAAAATAAAAAAAATAAGTTTTTCGAAAGAAATTGATATCGAAAGTGTACCAAAAGTGCTTCTGAACGTGTTTCGCAGTTGGATGGTGAAATTCGCGGTTGTTTTCAGTGAAAATTCCGTATCACAAATTTTCTCACCGAGTTCCTTTTTTTGCCGTTCGACGACATCGGGAATGCGCTCCCGGATATATTGATTTGGTGAGTACGTTCCAGTTGAGGATTGTTCTTGTACATTTCTCGATTGCATTTTCGAGGGGACGTGTCTGCTTTTGTGGGCAGTGCGTTTGATGGTCGGTTTGGTAGTATCCTTTTAAATATAATATCTCATGTCCAAATAACCTCGATTTTCGGTCTATTGATTCAATACTTCAGTATTATATTTTCAAAACATACAATTATGCATTATGTCATTTCATGGCACATAAAACAAAAAGTCTGTGTATAGGACCCAATAATCTAGGTTATTTGTTTTTCGTAAAACATCTTTATTTTTTATTATATTTTTCATTCTACTACATATTTTATATACATTATATATTACATGATTATATATAAATTCATGCAAAGCAAGATCCAAGCTAGGATGGTGGCTACTTACATACATACATACAACACTGCTCAATCGCTGTCGGGTTTTGATTGTTTTAGTCCATTCAAAGACAGTTCACTGAAGTTATTCGTGTACCTCTGTAAACTCTAGTTTTGTGAATTTACGTGGAAAGTGGAAATCAGTTGATTCGTGGTGACATTATTTAGTTTTACCGTATATTTGGTGCTGTGAAATTGCCAGTCATCCATAGAATTGTCTGTTTGTTGTGCAAGTGGTGTTGCAAAAACCACCTTTCGATCGTTCGTCTAACATTCGACGTGCCACCTACATCTGGATTTAGTAATCTGCTTATTGGGCATTTCACGAGGGGGACGACTCTATCTACGATGCAGAAAAGATTGTGTTTTGCTGTGGCACGCACGCTGAGTAGATAAAAGGAAGATTTATGTCGATTTTGAAGATTTCCTGCAAAAATATGAAGCACGATGCAAGTAGATGCGAGAAATAAAAGATGATTTTTCAAAGATTGATTCGCTAGCGTGAGATTTTTTGAGCATCTAGAATTGAGATTTAGATGTGCCGCCCACCTCGGCATTTCACGCGTATAGAGCCTTAATTCCGTTCAACGAAATGACCAGTACAAGTGCGTGCGACCGCTGTGCCAAAACAGTGAAACCGGACAAAGACCACATCGAATGTATGGGGTTCTGCGACCAAGTGTATCATGTGAGCCAGTTAAAGTCGTCTCTTTAGTGAAAAAAGGCACCGACCCACCATCGATGAACTACATCTCCTACAAGGTCGGCGTTCCAATGGAACTAAAAGAGAACGCTTTGAACCCTGAAACTTGGTCACAGGGGATTGTGTACAGAGAATTCGAGGATACTCAGGCGAAAAACAATGTATGGCTACCTCCTGATATCCCAGCACTCCCTGCTGTTCCAGAGACTATTCCGGGTGGCTCTCCAACGGGCACACCGTTTGGGACACCAGCACCTCTCGATATGTCAGCCCCTTTAGGTACACCCAGTATAACAGTCACCCCTTAATCCCCTCATCTGACGAATCAACAATGTCCCCGAGACGCACCGTAGAAAGCCTGATGCAAGCCCCCGATCTCCCCAACACAGTCCCGCCTACCATCGCCTTCGTCCAACATAGTCGTCTCGGCCCTGTAGTTGGTGGTGGAAAGGGGGTCTTCCACCATGCTTGCATAGGCAAGTACCTCTGTGATTTAAGTTTATCGTTGCGTGATGAGTTTTCCCATACTCAGGTTATTCTGACCCCGCTCCAAGCGAATTTTCGGTGATGCCCTCCGAAAATCAATTGA